TCTCTCATCCACCCGTTTATTGTTGTAATATCCTGATACCAAAACATTCTATTATCTAAAAATTTTAAATAAAAATAAGAGAGAAAACTGCCACGGCAGACATTCCTTTCGATCTCGTCCCGCAGGTGCAACGGTGGCTTTAACACTAGATTCACGGAACCCGTCAAAATGACGGATCACTAATTTTTTAATTTACAATTATTCATATCGTAAAGATACATTTACGAGTTACTTGTTCAATTTATACGTTACTTACGACAAATGTTACAATAACGCTTGCTAAAAATCAGAATAAATGTCTTATTTTTACTTTTATAAACTAATATGAAACAGCTGTTTTTTGTGCTCTGTAAATCTAGCGTTAATTCGGGTGGCCAAAGGTTACTTCCTTCCAAGGACTTATCTAAACGCGGCAGCCTTTAAAGTTTAAAGGATAGTCACTTCATTCCGTGCCGTTTCATTTGCTTCCTAAGCGTTGATTATCGCGAATCTGAATTCATGGAAATTCGTATGCATAGCACTTAATAGGAAATTCCATTTTCCTATCGGGCTCTTCCTATCGGCGGGATTCGTTCGTTACTCCGCTCCTTCCTTCCCTTCCTCCTTCTTTTCTCACCGGGAGGTTTGTAACTTGCCTTTGCTCCTGCGCCCGGGGAATCGCGGTCACGTTTCAGCTAAGTTCAGTCGTTCGTGTAAAAAGGCGATTTATCTCGACTATGAAGGAGAAGCAATGATACGAACGTATTTAGATTTCGTCTTTTGGCCTTGCTTTTCGCAGACGCGCTGTTCGACTTACGCGTTCCCTTTTACCGCGCCGTTGACCCGACTTTTAGTTAGAAGAATCGACGGATTTTTCGTGGGAAAAGCTGTTTCGTTGCAATGCAAATTCTGAGACACAACAATTTTCAACGTTGTAAGAACTATTCAAGATTTCCTCTGATTTTCCATTCATATCAGTCGAATACATGCAACAAACTTCGATTTCGTAGCCACTCTTTCTTCTTTCTTCTATTCGCATTTGTATCTTACACAGAGATAATAAATACTCGAAGTAATAACGATGAAACGATAGAAGAACCTCGATTAAACCTCGACCAACCATTTCATGCTACGGTATTAATAATTCATCGAAAATAAAATGAACTTTATGAAAATTAATTTTATTACGATTAACAGAAAAATTTGGTATTACGGTAGTTAATTATAACTCTCAACAGTTTTTAGAAAATCTGCATGTATTTTATGACAAGACTGCGGATCTTCGTACGAGATAAAAATTATCTGAGTTAATTATAAGAAACACAAATGCGATGAAGATATCTTCTTTCATTTAACAATCGTAATAAGATGAAAATAATTGAACGATATCTTCAGATTCTTCTAATGTCTTTTTATTTCCGTATCTGACCTATTCACATTTGTCATAATAATGTAATTACAACCGATACAATAATACAATTTAATTACAATAATTACAATTGGCAGACAGATATATGAAACTTTTCATTGTTAATTGCTTATCAGCCAAAATCGCGTCAACAGCTAGGTCATTAACGACCGCGGAGGGATCACAGAAATATTACAGCGAGACACATAAGTTCGACAGTGGATTGACATGCGTGGTAGTACAATTATATTTGATTGCATAAATCTATAGCTTTTTAAAAAGCTAAGAACGCGAACAATATATTTTTTATAAACATACACAAAACTTGTTTGATAGAAGTTTGCAAACTTCAATTTTCCAAACATTCGTACCATTCACTGTACGCGGAAGAACTAGGAGTTTGCAAATAACCACCAATGTTGAATTCGGATAACGAAAGTTCTACCGTATTTCGAGGCCCCGAATCCTATTCTTGAGTCCAATTATTCCGTACGAATTCTGAAATAAAATCAAACGTTAACCAAAACAGCGAAGCAGCACGCAGCGCGGATAGATAACAGCTTGGGAAGGAATAAGTGAACGTTTCGGTTAAATAATGAAGAGAGAGAGAGAGAGAGAGAGAGAGAGAGAAAGTGAGATAGAGAGAGAGTGAGAGAGAGAGAGAAAGTGAGATAGAGAGAGAGAGAGAGAGGGAGAGAGAGAAAGTGAGATAGATAGAGAGAGAGAGAGAGAGAGAAAGTGAGATAGATAGAGAGAGAGAGAGAGAGAGAGAAAGTGAGAGAGAGAGAGAGAGAGAGAGAGAGAGAGATCGGGGCTGCGAAGAACGAGGAGGATCGATATCGTCGGCGAGGATCGATTATTCCGCGTTTTATCTCCCGTGAAAAATCGCTTATCCGCCGCTTGCGCCCGTAATTGCGGAGCAGCCGGAGCATAGAAACGATCCGCGTATTCGCTTTGGAACATAACCACACCAAACACGTATTCCGCCTGGACCGTTTCTGGACCCAGTCCCCGGCGCGGGCGCGGCGCGGGCGGATGAAACGCCAGGATTCGTATAGACGCTTTTACGGCCTGCTTTAGATTATACGCCTGAGATAACGGCCGAAGGAGCGGGAAGCGAGCCTTTATTTGCAGTCGGTGGAAGGTATGCGAATCCGCCCCCTCTCGGTTTTTCCCGTAATGCGCCTGGCCCGGTCTCCGGTTAGCCCTTTCCCTTCCGGAACTGCGACTTCTTTCTCTCCTACCAAGGTTCGAGAGAACCACACCGGCCGCTCCGGTTCGCTCCACCTCGAACTAACTTCGTACCGTCGGCCGATTTATTCCCAGGATGAACGAGGAACAGCCGGAATTGCCGGGTTTTGGATCCGCCGTCCATTTTTTCTCCTCCTCCGACTCCCAAGAGAGCCGCGAGCCGATCCTCCTTCGCCTCAGACTGGAATGATCGTATCAAACGTAGCTTGGTTGTTTCGCTTAAATAGGGGCTGCGAATCCGGTCGCTTCGATGCCGTACAGTAGCGGTCAACGGAAACTACGTTCTCAATGGTTGATGGCGATTTTCTTGACTCTTTCCGAACAACCTTCCATTAGTCCATCGTAGATCGATCGAGATACTGTTCTTTCGCTTTAACCCTAATTCCTTTACTGTTGTCAATTTTATTATTTATTATTTTATTATTTTTCTTTTATATCTATTTTAAAGCTTCACAATCTATCATTCTGTCATTTTGATCAGTCGTTCTGTTATTTTTCTATCATTCCGTCAAATTGATCTCAGACTTTGTTAATTTTATTTTCTTAACGTTAAGTATGTCTATCTATTATTATAGTATAATATAAATACAGGGTGTCCCAAAAATGTCTCGTAATCCGGAAATGGCGAGTTTCTCGGATCATTTGAAACACTTTCTTCCTTTACAAAAATTTTCTCCGATGCACCGTTAACGAGTTATTAACGAAAAACAGTGACCAATGAGAGGTGAGCTCAGCTGGCGCTAGGCGGCCGAGCCAACAGCGCCAGCGGTCGAGCGGTCGAATCCCAGCTCAGCTGGCGCGAGGCGACCGAGCCAATGAGCGGAACTGGGCTTCGTGCGAAAACCAGTGACCAATAAGAATCGAGTACGGCGAGGCGGCCCAGTCAACCAGCGCGCGAAGCCCAGTTCCGCTCATTGCCTCGGTCGCCTCGCGCCAGCTGAGCTAGGATTCGTCCGCCTCGACCGCTGGCGCCGTTGGCTCGGCTGACTCACGCCAGCTGAGCTGGGATTCGGCCGCTCGACCGCTGGCGCCGTTGGCTCGGTCGCATCGCGCCAGCCGAGCTCGCCTCTCATTGGTCACTGTTTTTCGTTAATAACTCGTTAACGGTGCCTCGGAGAGAATTTTTGTAAAGTAAAAAGTTGCTTCGAATGATCTGAGGAACTCGCCACTTTCAGATTGCAAGACATTTTTGGGACACCCTGTATTTGTTACGCGAGGGATCTTTTCTGGCTCTTTAATACACGCGAATTTCACGAGCGTCAGAAGTCGTGTCATTTATTTGTTTTGTCGAAAAAGTAGCTAGAAGCTGTAAGAAGCTCAAATCTAATGCTTCGGAAGAAGTTTGAATGGACGTGTGCGATAACAAGTGAGTGAGACTTATAATAATAATTTTGTTTAATAATAACGTTGTTTAATATTAACTTCATTTAATAATAACTTTGTTTGTCGGCGAGATAGACCCTTTGTCGCAGCGAGAGAAAACAATAATAATGTAGCAGTCACACGAGAACGGATAAAATATAAAAACTTAAAACTGAAAAGGAGAGGAAAGAAAGGAAAAAGAAGCGAAGATGGAGAGGAACAGGGAATAGCATTTACGGCAGTCAGCTTGATGGAAGCGGAAGGATTACAAAAGAAATCTAATTGATCGCAGTGAAGGTTAGAGACAATGAGTGAACGCGGTTGAAGAGAACTTCTGCGATGAGCAACAATGAAGACCGGAATGAATACAGTAATCACTTTGCTATAGATCTGAACGCAAATGTGCATAGTGCACGTTGCAATAAGTGTAAAAAAAACACTGTCCGGCACGTCGTTTCATTCTGTGTGAAAAATTTCAAGAGAACATTGCACACGAATGTGTCTCTCTTTATCTTCCGTAAAGTATTTAGTAAAATAAATTGTTCGCCTCTTGTTACATTGATTTTTTACGATCGTGTCAATTTGACACACGAGGGACACATTGAGTTGGAGAAATGAGGACGGGACGGTGGTTAAATGGGGCTACGAATTCTGATGCTTTACCGAAGGGTAGGTACAGTGGTCAGGGAGAACTGTGCCGTCAATGATTAAGGGCAGTTTCCCCGATTCTTCCGGATTAACCTTTCGTTAAACTGGCGAATTTGTGAACAATGAACTTACTTTGACACATCCGATGCATCGACACGAATTTTTAAGTTCGAACAAATTCTGTCAATATGTTAAACGTGTCGTCTAATTTCAACTTCTACTATCGGAAACATCAATAAGATGATTCCCACGTATTGACAAGGGTTGATTCCCACGTATTGTCTCAAAGACAGAGAATGTTTCTGCTATATCCTCGCGTATGTAAATTCCAATTAATGAATACCAAACTCACAGCGTTCTTCTAACTCCAATGTCCAAGATATTCAACAATGCGTGTTTCTCATCCCAACTTCGAGGGCTGGTTTCACCGTCTTGATACAGATGACTGCGAACAGAAAGGGTAGATTTCAGATGTTAGATGGAATCGTGAACAGTCTCTGTCTTCTCTCGCATAAACAGTTCTTTCTTAATCGATTATATTTTCATGTCACGTGAAATAACGCGATTGTCATTGATTTATCGGCGTTCAGTGAAATAAAATAAAATAAATTAAGGAAGTTTCATCAGTAAACAAATCTCCCATTTTATCAACAATCCTTGTAAGATAAAATCTGATTGAAACGTGTATCATGCAAAAGTTTATCCTTTCTTCGCGTGGAATAAAAGTCCGTGAATGAAAATACAGAGGTTTCCGTTTTTAAAAAAACAAAGTTACTAAAAAACTGAATAAATAAACAGGACAGTTATAGTTTTCAAATGAACAGCCTGGACACGTCCAATGAAATATTATTGAATAAATTGCCCCGAAATATGTCGGCATAATTTCACCAGTTGCGCTTATCGTTCCTTATTTCATTAATTCCGCGATCGAAGTTTCCCGGATAAGCGTCCACGGAGCATCCCGAGTCTTCCCGCTAATCCGGGTGGCACGAAATTTTGAAAGAGCAGCGCCAACGCGCCGAGACACTCGATTCCCGGCCGAGCTTTCTACCATTCGGTCCGCGAGTCTCGTGGACATCGCCGAGACCGAAGCCGGAACATCTATTTCCGACGTCGATGCGTGCTTCCGAAACTCGCGCGGCCGCTGTATTCGCAACATATGTGTCGCCGGTGGAAACCGGCACGGATATTCGAGCCACGTAGGAAACCTCTACTTAACTATCCATTAAATACGAGCAACCGCCATCCGGTGTACGGCAACGGAGCAACGGATACCAAATCCACGGTAATCTAGGGAAAATTTCATGGCCGGTAAAAACCAGCTCTCTCTCTCTCTCTCTCTCTCTCTCTCTTTCCCTCTCCTCTCTGTAACGATCAATACCGCACGTACGCGCGTAAAACTCTCTGCTGACCAGCCGCAAGGGAGCGACATCCGCCGAAACCAGGGACGCGATACGTCCGACAGCCGCTCGTAAAGGGTCGTCGGCCCGGGGGCTGTCCGTTGACGAATGACGGGAAACGTCTTTAATTCGACAAGGGAACGAATAATTCGGCCCGATGTCGTGCCTCGTTTCAATTCACCGATTCCTCGATGGATCGTGGTTTATCGTTCGAACTATTCCTCCGGGCAGTAAATCCCGTTTATGTGCGGTCGCGACGACGTCCGATTGGACATCCGGTACGCAGATATTAGGTGCTCGCACACCGAAACTCTGGTCTCCTGCAGAAATTCCATTCGAGCTTGTTGCATAAATCGTTGTTTATACATTGTTATTTACACAGGGTGCCCTGTACATATTGCTGGACTGTGTTCCACGAGTAAAAATAAGACTACAATGTTATACATACAGGGTGTCCCAAAAATGTCTCGCAATGCGGAAATGGCGGGTTCTTCGGATCATTTGAAGCAACTTCTTCCTTTACAAAAATGTTCTCCGAGGCACCGTTAACGAGTTATTAACGAAAAACTGTGACCAATAAGAATCGAGTACGGCTGACGCGAGACGGCCCAGCCAACCAGCGCACGAAGCCCAGTTCCGCTCATTGGCTCGGTCGCCACGCGCCAGCCGAGCTCGCCTCTCATTGGTCACAGTTTTTCGTTAATAACTCGTTAACGGTGCATCGGAGAAAATTTTTGTAAAGGAAAATGTTGCTTCGAATGACCCGAGGAACCCGCCACTTTCGGATTGCAAGACATTTTTGGGACACCCCGTATAACGAGAATTTTTAGCACTTCGCAGAGGGATTCTTTCAAATGTATGACGTAATTTAAAAAAAATTAATTTGTTCAATAAGGTAGGTCGGCGGGACATTTTAACACAAGGATTAAAGTTTTGCCACTCGGAATAGACTCCAGTCTATCGGAATAGACTCCAAAGTGTTAAATACTGCTGAATATACCCACAGTGGGCGCAGAAATTATTCGTACTCCTGTTAAAACGGAATAACTTTTTTTGCAATTGGACCAAGCGATCTAAATTTTTCTTCGGATGTTAGAGGGATCAGTTTACCAGACAGTAGCTAAACATTCATTTTCAAAAATTGCAATTGTACTGGTAAAACATGTTTTTGCTTCTCGATGTTTTCGGTTGAGCCGGAGATAATGTTTAACAACGCGGGATTGATAATATGCAACAGGCGGTCGAGGCTGTGGCCAAAAAGTGTCGAGATCCTCTATTTTTAAAATAAAAGCTAGCGGTTCTTGTCATAGCTTGTAAAACACTGTTGCAAATATTTATATTGTACTCTATTTTCTTATCATATTTTCATTATATTCGATTTTCTTATTGGACTTCTATGATATTGTAAAGAGAATATAATATTAGACTTTTGTATTTTTCGAACTCGTTCGTAGCTTGAACTGCTTTACGTCTCGGAAGCTTTATATCGTACGTATTCCTTGTGGTATTTCTAAAGACAGAGAACCGTCGGTGGTATCGTCGACAGTCATCGATAGCTNATTTGAAGCAACTTCTTCCTTTACAAAAATGTTCTCCGAGGCACCGTTAACGAGTTATTAACGAAAAACTGTGACCAATAAGAATCGAGTACGGCTGACGCGAGACGGCCCAGCCAACCAGCGCACGAAGCCCAGTTCCGCTCATTGGCTCGGTCGCCACGCGCCAGCCGAGCTCGCCTCTCATTGGTCACAGTTTTTCGTTAATAACTCGTTAACGGTGCATCGGAGAAAATTTTTGTAAAGGAAAATGTTGCTTCGAATGACCCGAGGAACCCGCCACTTTCGGATTGCAAGACATTTTTGGGACACCCCGTATAACGAGAATTTTTAGCACTTCGCAGAGGGATTCTTTCAAATGTATGACGTAATTTAAAAAAAATTAATTTGTTCAATAAGGTAGGTCGGCGGGACATTTTAACACAAGGATTAAAGTTTTGCCACTCGGAATAGACTCCAGTCTATCGGAATAGACTCCAAAGTGTTAAATACTGCTGAATATACCCACAGTGGGCGCAGAAATTATTCGTACTCCTGTTAAAACGGAATAACTTTTTTTGCAATTGGACCAAGCGATCTAAATTTTTCTTCGGATGTTAGAGGGATCAGTTTACCAGACAGTAGCTAAACATTCATTTTCAAAAATTGCAATTGTACTGGTAAAACATGTTTTTGCTTCTCGATGTTTTCGGTTGAGCCGGAGATAATGTTTAACAACGCGGGATTGATAATATGCAACAGGCGGTCGAGGCTGTGGCCAAAAAGTGTCGAGATCCTCTATTTTTAAAATAAAAGCTAGCGGTTCTTGTCATAGCTTGTAAAACACTGTTGCAAATATTTATATTGTACTCTATTTTCTTATCATATTTTCATTATATTCGATTTTCTTATTGGACTTCTATGATATTGTAAAGAGAATATAATATTAGACTTTTGTATTTTTCGAACTCGTTCGTAGCTTGAACTGCTTTACGTCTCGGAAGCTTTATATCGTACGTATTCCTTGTGGTATTTCTAAAGACAGAGAACCGTCGGTGGTATCGTCGACAGTCATCGATAGCTTTTGTAAACTATCGGAAACTATCGATGGTTGTGCACGTCTGCCCCGCAGGAGGCTGGCATCCAGGGAGCAGGTTGGTCAAGTTAAATACCGGCGAGGTGTTCTCACGCGCGTCCATTATACTCGTATAAAGGATTCCATCCGGGCGTTCCCATTATCTCGTAAAAATACGACGGCCTTTTTTGGGGAGGGAGGAAAAAAGGTCGCGATCATTTATACCGCGATTTAATACCAGATTAACGAGGCAATTTGCGTCAAAGGAAGGAGGGTCGTTTAATCGGCGGAGACGGCTAATTTGTCATCGACATCGATACCTATCTACTCGTAACTCCGTGCCGGATAATTCGTGCGGCCCGTAGATCGACCGAGCTACTTCGCCGCCTTCGTCCACGATCTATAAAACTAATAGATCTCCGCGGCCCCGACGTTTTCAACCCCTGCGCGGAAGCCCGGCGAGAAACGAGGAACGAGCGGGGGATCAATCCGCTCGATTTCCGATCACTCGGTTTCCACGTTGGTAATTGGACCGAAATATTTTTAACTGTTCCGCCGCGGCGACATCCGCCGTTCTAAATTATAATTAACGCGTGTAATTAGTTCCATTTCTACAATACGGCATCCGTCCGTGTTCACAGTATATTACGCGTTACACGGTCATGGGAAATTAATTAGCCCCGATGGATTTATCACGAGTGATCGAAACGTAATAAATTTAAAAGGCCCTTGGTCGTGCTTCCGCGGACCCGCGCGCTGATTTACCATTATTGATATTATCTACACGCGACGGCTAAATGATTCTAATTAATTTACTACGAAACGCTCGCTGGCAGCCATTTCCTCCGGTAATTGTTACAGTCGACATTTGAAACGTTCACGGCACAGCCCCTGGCAACTATCGCGTTTAAAAAGTGATGGATGGACGGCCGCCGATAATCGATAATCGCGCGATTCTTCGTCACCTCACGGTTGCGAAACGTACCCGTTTATGGATAGAACAGGATCACTTTATGCTAATGAAGATTCCCGGAGAAATTCATCGAACCTATCGCGAAATCACGCGTCACGGTTTCGGTAATATTTTAGCATCTGCCAGCATCTATTGCCGAGAATTTCCATGATACGTTTCGCTTCGAAATCTTCTCGATAACATGTCCAAAGTGTAATGTTACTACAACCGTAATCGATAAAATTAATTCAGTGTGCGACCGATAATAGGATCATGAAAGATTCGAATCCGACAACAGTGGCCACAAATGTACGAAATTAAACATCAAATGATGGAACAGATAACGGCGTCATTGTCATCGCACATATCGAAACTGATACGACGAAAATATAAATTGAAGAGGCTACAACAAAGTTTTACTATTTTGGAAATACCGAAACGTGTCGCTCTTGATGCGAATTTTAATATACTTCTAATATATTT